GCCGAACGGTCCAGGGGCCCGTTTCTCGAAAGTCCCGATAATGAACGGGCCCGGTAAGCTGTCCGTTTACATTAAAGATCGGATCAATTTATGTTTCTGGGAAACCGAGCCCGGTTTCTTATAACCGTACCCGTTTTATTAGATAGGACACGACATTAATAAAACGGACCCGGTATCTTTCATACCCCCAAAACTTTGTGTCCAACGAGCCCGTTATTTAGTCATCAAACCCGTACCCGGTAAACAGACCACATTAACCTACCCCTTCATCTTTTCTAGAAACTGGACCCTGCTTCAATACCGAACCCGTCATCAATTTTAAGTTCCGGACCCGCCTTATACATCCCGATGTGATGATCCATCGGGCCCGGCTTTATTTCGTTAGTTAGTCGGACCCCGGTAACTTTCGTATTTTTCATGGTCGACCCCTACAACCCGGCCCCGGAACCGGGCCCGGTTAGGATATGTATTCCTTTCTTTGGTTTTTCATTCAACCCCTCCCCTCCCGTCCACCCACCCACCCCCTTAAAAATTTCCTTATTATTATTATTATTTTTAAGTGCGCGCTTCAATTTACTGCCTTAGTATTGTTATTATAATTTTGAATCATGAATGGCCCACATTGTTTAGATCTGTCTCCTAAACACTCTCTCGGGCGAATTTCCTGCCACTTCGCTTAAGCAGTCGCCGCCTTTACTGCAGTTATTTCAGCTCCAGTTAATAGCTAATGATCACAGATACAATCAGATAGAATCTTATTTTAACGTGACTTGCCCCACAAGTGGCTTGAACAATATGTAGTCGAGGTCAACATCGCTCCTCGGAAAAGACGAAACATACTTTTCGTACCACTAAAACTGTTTGCTATATCATTTATATTGTTAAAAAAACAATCTGGTGTGATAAGGGAATCGCTCGAGTAGGTATACTTACTCCTAATAAACAATTATCCCTCGAAGGGCCTGTGGGGGAAAATAATAACCCTCCTTTACATGCACTCTTACAACCCCGCCATCCCGGGGTGCACTTTCTCAAATGGTCACTAAGCAAGTAAACAAGAAAAAATGCTGGCAAACCACATGTTTTGGCGATTAATTCACTTCTACACTCACTTGTTGCTGCTGCTACAACCTTCAGTGCAATGGCTTTCTATTGTTAACTTTAATAAAGATGCAAAGCCACCGACACATTGAATTTTGTGCGAATTTGATTTACCACGAATCCGGCTGAGAGGGTAAACCGGTCTGGTAGACCAGGCTACCCGCCTTAACGGATCACCCCATCTATCATGTAAACGTGATCAAATTGAAATGAGAGATTATATGGACGGGCGGGTTACCCCACCTAAGCGAGTTACCTCACCTACCTGGGATCCCCCACCTCCATGTAAACAGGCTCTAAGTTTCACGAATTTTCGTGAGGAGAAATACCCGATTTTGAAAATAAGCCTCCCCCCTTACTCACTCTGCTGTCACTCCAAGGCAAAAAAGAAAAACACACGTTACAGGCTGATAGTTGACCTTCACTAAAAATCACACAAAGAGACATTTTTCTCCTTCCTGTTACACTGGGTTACGTTAAACACTCTTTAAAATCGCTTTTTATGTACATCGAAAGAACTTCTTCAAACGTTGCATCACTGGATTCAATTCGATTGTTAAGTGTAGTGGAGTGGTAATTTTCGAAGCGGTAATCTTCTGGTAATCAATTTCATGGATGTTATCGTAGTTACTCTTTTCAGAACTGGACTTTTGGTGTAGAACTGGTGCATTGATTATTCTTTTGTTCTAATGCAATTATCGCAAATTTTGACTTATGTAATTTTAATCACTAGAAAGGATAGTTACTCAGAATCTCACGAAACTCCTTGGTTGCCCTTGGATGGTGAATATATCAAAGCCTATCTGCCATTACTATAAGTCAAGTCTCTAAAATACGCACACCTCTCTAAGACGGACACTTAAGGGGCGCTTTTGTCGAGAAAAACACTGCAAAACGGAGATGCAGGTGCTGACTCTGACAGTAAATTTCGAGTTGGGGCAGTAAACATTCGTATTATAAATAAATAAACACCTGACTTCTAGATGGTGTTCTATTGGGATCAACCGTTTGAAATGTTTTTTTTTCCCAATTGAACACGAAAAGACCCAACCAAACCAACTTAAAACGCTTGATCCCAACATGGATAATAGAAAGATTATCCATGATCGCCATGGAGCACCCTAGTTTGCAGGTTTGCTTAACTCAACGACCTGAAACAGACGCGTGTTAATTGAGAATAGGTTCAGCTTTATAAGCCGGACACCTCTGTAAGACGGACAGTAGGGGCCGGTCTTAAGGTTGATTTCCACTGACGCGTTTTTGTCTACGCACGTTAAAAAATTACGCAGGCAAATATTACGCGACACTGGAAATCCAGAGAGAGTTGACTGTACGACAACCGACGGCGAACTGAAGCGGATAACACACCCAAAAGTTGCTACAAAACAAATTGAAACACATAGCAGCTTGTTCATTTAGCAAATCTAAAACATGTTTATTTAATCATTCATTGCAGAATTCACTCTGTTAACAATATCAACGCTAAAACGCTTGTTGAAACAATGTTTCAGAAAATCCTGATGGGCTTATTTAATAATTTAATGAAGCAAAAAGTAACAGAAACAATTGAAATTCTTTTAGAGGACAGACAAGACAAGAAGGTAGGACTATCGGCCTAGCAAGATGTACGTCTTTGAACACTGGAACGGCCATTTGTCACATCTTGCATGTTTATAAAACACATATGAGTCTGTTTAGTAACAAGTAGGTTATGTTCCCATTATATATATTTGGAAAAATGAAAACGTTTCTTTTTTCCCCCATTTTTTCATCCAACGAATCCCATGTTTAAAAAGGCCCTTGAGGACTTCTATTGTCAAGAACACTTTCTGCCTCTGTATTAATAACTTTGGAAAAATCCGGGGAAAATATAGTACAGTTCAGAAAAAATGACTTCTTTTATATTACAATCTCTTTTTGGTACTGTGTTTTTCGCAGAGAGCAAAGGAGTCATGTTAGTCTTAGTACAAGATTAAATTTTACAGCGCGATTCGCCTTTGTTTATTGTAAAATGCGAACAAAAATTAACTATGCTCAAGTTTTAAGTTGGGAAAAGTGCGGAAAGGGAAGAATGAAGATTCTTGTAAGCCCTCAGACCTTTGGCCTGCGATATTGTTGAGCACATATTTGTAACAAATTAGTTTAAATGCGTAGATCACCTTGTGAACAGGTTCCCTGTTTGAGAAAGGAGGCTAAAAGTCGTTTGTTCCCCCTCAATGGGAGCCTGTTCACATTGGCAAGTCAGTTGGTGGTCTGGCCAGGTTGCATAAAACCTTCTTAAGATAAGAGAGCTCTTAACTTTTGTTCTGGAACAATAACCTATTGTTTTGAAATAATAGCTACGACTCCCCTTAATCTTAAGATATCTTTTGCAACCCGACCCGGGTTCGCATTTTAAAGTAAACAAAGTGATTGGCCTTGTGGATGTCATTGTTTTTATTCCGTCAAACGTAACTTTTTCGATCCCTATGCGCTTTTTTAGTAACAAGTGAACTATGAAGTTCAAAGACCAACCATGTCACAAAAACAAAAATTTAATATCTGCTGTTGTCAACTAATAAATGCAGTGGACCTCTTAGAGAAAACAATTTTTCCTTCGGCGGGGTATAAAATTAGCCCTATGTTTTGATGGTCCATCACGCGTAACTGTATTATTGATTGACGGCCATGGAAAACACTGTCTTAGGTTGGATTTTGAGGTCCATAGCTCGCGTGCTTTCTAAATTGTTACTTATTATATCTCTCGTTTAGTACGCGCGCTGTGATTGGTCAATTTTGCAGGGCCGTATTCTACTGTGCAGCAGGGATATCTTAAATATCTTACTGACCTTGTCTTCTCTGTCCGTACTGTAAGTTACGAATCCTCGATCCGTATCTTACAGTACAGAACTTGAACTCGTTAGAAAGAGGTATTTATTTAGTAATCTTTAAAATTTGTTATAATAAATTTTACGCACAATCCGTCATTTAACCCTGTTGAAAAACCTTTCCCACCGATCTTAACCATCTGTCCTTCCTTTAACTCCAATCGAGGTTTCAATAGTTTTGCATCTAACATGATAAAACTATCAGTTAATGAGACGAAATGGAGTAGTTTGCTAGCTTGGATCGCGCTCTTATTCTTTATATTTCGATTTTAATATTTGATTTCGGGCCCGAAAAGTTACCGGCACTTTCGAGAAACGGGCCCCTGGACCATATACCCAAAACAATTTTTTCCGAAACAAAACCGGCTCCCCGAGACGAGCGGTCCCGACCGCAGACACAAACAAAAATATTTCGTTCCAAACAGAATCGGCTCCCGGAGCCAAATGGAACACAAACAAGCCGAAACAAAAAGGGACGAACTAAAATGAAATACATGTACGAACAACAGTAACAAAAGGAGGCAAAGGAAAAACGAAAATTATGCCCTAGGCACACGTGGAACGTTGAATATGCTAAACAAGGTAGTAGCAAAACTTGCAAGAAAACTAAATAACCCAAACGTTGGAGAAAAGACACGGAAACGAGTGGTAGAACGGGTAAATAAAGCTTCGAACGAGAAAAATGCACCAGAACCTGGAAATTATCCAGTGCGAGGAATCGAAGGTGGGCGGGTTTTGGTTGACAAGCCGATACAAGCGAACCTGGATAAGTCGTCTCGGCGGTCGGAGCTGTGACAATGAAATCAAACTAAAAAAGCCACTTGGTGTATTCTACTTATAAGGGGAGCATGCAGTGCACTGATGCGTCCCTAAACACGGTGGAGTATTTTACTGGTCGTCTCAAGATGCATTAATTAATTATTTAGTGAGAATATTGCAATAAAGCAAGTTCTGTTTGTTGTTGAACCTCTCTTTGTCTCTCTCTTGCACCAGTAATACCATATCTTCTAGGTACAAGGCCATCCCCGCAATTTAGTATCTCGCGTTCTTCCAAGAAACCTCTCTTGATGTGAAATTATGTAGATTAGTCGAATCCCCACGGCACTCCCTCTGGAACGCAATACTATCTTCATCCCCCCTTGCCTTGGGTATTTTTGCTATATAGTCCTTTTCCTGCAACATATCCCGTTCCGTCACAAGCCTCGTGAAAAGCCTCAAAGTCTCTCTTATCTCAGACACAATCGACAGACCGCCTCTCACCAGCCTCTTCATTCTTTGCTTCGATAAATAATCTCTACCCCGAAGACTCTTCCATTGTTTGTATTCCACTTTTAATAATCTTGTCCTAGTCCAAAAAACAGTTCTTACCATCGCTTTTACCCTCTTCACCTCATCCACATACCATTTTTCTTTCTCCTTTAACTCCAACCTCTGCCCTTCATCCTTGCACGCCATACAAGTGCCACATAGTTCAAACCAGTCCTCTTTTTTTCAAACCTTACAATTCATATCTTAACTTAGATATGCTAGCATATAGTCCATCTATCTGTAATAAATCCTTTCTTAAAGCAGACGTAATCAATCGTTTTCGGTACACTTGTTCCAGCCACGTTTGTGTAGAGCCGAAAATCACTTTGGCCGTTAGTCACTCAATGCTGACTTGCGTTAGCATAGCTCGTGGAAAGAACGCTTCCCTAACGTTACTTTTTAAAAAAAAAATCTAGCGCAATCAAACAATCGCATTGCCAACTTTGCAACGTTAGCAGTTCAAGTAACAAAGGATAGAAGAGGTAAAAAATCTACTTCCGAAACAAGGCAATGTACTCTAATTTCCATATTTTAATGGAAACCATGTATGTGAGTGTACTTACTCAATGCTTTGAAGTGTGAAATTAAAAATGGCTAGCCCCTACAGAACTCCTGTGACAGAAAGCGTTAAGGCCCCAAAGTTTAAGGTACCAGATTATTGTAGTAACCAAAGAGCACCTTCAAACAACAAAATGACACGTATAGCTCATCCAAATAGTACAATAATGGCGTCGAAACATGTGAAAATAGACCTCTGCCTCCGAAGCCCGCCAGTTCTTCTTGTGGCTATATATTTTGTGCTTTTGACCTCCCCTCCCTTGGCCTATTCCCTTGATTGCCCTCTGAGCTTCTGATGAGACAAGGCTTTCAACATTTTGTTAACTTATAATTAAGGCGCTTATTATGAGCTCATCATATCTCATTATCTTAGAGTTCAAGATATGTTAATAGTAGTAGATATATAAAATGGTTGGGGTCCTGCATTTTACAGTTGTCCCCAGAGGATGAAATAGAAATTAAAGGTGGTCTGGTTGCGATAGAAATAGAAGAAAGAAGATGTAAGATACAAGGAGAAGAACAGGATACGACACGATGTTAAGACAAATCACAAAGTCTGTTCTGATTAGTAAGATCAGGGAAGATAATCTAATGAACTCAAAAAGTGAATGGAACTTCTTCTGCATCCGAAGGACTGTTGTAACGCAACAGCCTCATTACTACTTGAGGTTATTTTTCATGCATTGCTAAGTAGTTTATGTTATTTTGAATGCTGTGAAGATCAACTGTAGAGGTCGTTATACGGAACTAGTCTTGTGAATCGCCATATAAATGTAATTGTGTGTTGAAAAGTGGAAACAAATTAAGTTTTTTTTCTCTTGTTTACTGAAACACTTCAAAGAGAAGGCCCAAAAAAATAAAAGATGTAGTCATCGAAGCCAATCGGGTGGCTGCTCAGCTATAACTTATTATGGCTGGGCAGCTAGACTGCTGGGCCAACCATAATTTGGCTGAAGCTAATGAGTAGCATGAAAACCATCCAGGTAAATAAAAATAAAACACATAAAATTTGTTCATAATTTGTATACATGTACTTTCAATGAAAAGGAAAAGTTTTTTTTAAGAAAATGTGATGAAAATAACATGTTTATTAAACAGAAAAGAGTACAAAGCAGTTGCAACCTGTTTTTAAAAAAACAATTAGTTCTTCAGAAATTTTTCCTATTGTGTATCGTCTCTTGTCGCTCCGTATCATCCTCTCCATCTCCATCACCCTCCACTTCTTTAACTGACTTTCTTCATGTTGCAATCTACTACTCTTGACTAGGTCAAAGTAGCATTCTTTCTCTAAGCAACACTTCCTGCATCATGCACTGTATAATTTTTCACATCATCTTTTATGGATTTCTAAATAAGGAAGCACCTACATTTAAATCGCTCAATAATATAAATAAATGCATTAAATATCCCTTTCCCATTACCCTTAAATATAAAATAAATAACTCCTAAAAGAAAGAAAATGGAGTCGGAGCACTCTTTCAAATTAAATCACACAATGCATTGTTAACGTTAAAATCTAAGGCTGCAGGGTACCCACTTGCCTATTTTTAAACATATTATAACAATTACAAGGCTGCAATCAGTGGATGGATGAAGACATTTGAATAACAGGGTTTAAAGAAACAAGACCAACCATAAGCATAGAAAAGCAGAAGCTTATTTCCTCACTGACTTGCACCTACCGAAAAATTACCACAGAACCGCACGGAAAGGAAAATGAAACGGGACTAGCGCGCCGCGAAGCATGATGGATTTGAACAGTGATACTTAATATGACTAACTGTAACATAGAGACAGGGTGTAAGTAAAATAGAATACAGAGATGGAGATGATTTGGGCAGACACCTCCCCTCACTCCTACTCTCCACTCCATTAGTACATAAACCTAATAAACATGGGCACCGATACTGTTGTTTTCTGAACTCATATTATAGTTATCCTTGAACTATGGTGTCTTCTTTCAACTACACTAAGACCTTCCGATCGACTTCCAGGAAGAAGTGAACTTTTCGAAATGAAAGAGGAACTGCTCTAATGTACGTGCTTTATGTCTTTTCAGCGCGGTTTCTATAATGCATCCATAAGCAAATGCTATCATTTCAGATCTTGAACTTTATTTTTTTGCTATATAACATGTAAAGATATATCTTTTCCAAATGAGAAAAGAATTTATGCCTTACTGACCTTTAAGCGTAGGAACGACATGGAACAAACACTGAGATCTTCTCGCAGTTTTTGTCGCACAACGAAAACCTAAGCTCGCAAAGACCTTTTACAGGACGCCAAACTTTTTACACTATAATTATGGAGGGGATGTAATAGAACCAAGCAATTCGTGTAAGTGTCAACTTACCTATGTTCGCTGAATCCCTCCCTTCCTCCCCTAACCCTTACAAAACACAACTGACTTTGTTTTTCTGGTTCCGTACCACTCTACGTATTACGTAATTTAGTCTTGGAAATCTTTCTTTGATCGTGCATAGTGTACTTTTAAAAAGTCACCATCCCGTGTATTATGCTACTCTTGTTGTAGCGGGGCTGTTCTGTGGAACAATTTGCCCACTGATGTAAGACAAGCAAAATCTTTGACTGTCTTTCGGAAACTGTTAACTTCTAGCTCGGACATGGCATGAATGGAAAACAGGCTTTAATTTTGTAAATTAATTTTATTTAGGTAGTTATTTCAAAATTCATCTTTGTAAATGCTATTACCATTAATTCTATAGTTTGTAAACATTTTTGGGATATTGTATATTGTGTATTTAGCCTGATTCTTCTTACCGTGTATAAATAAAAGTGATGATGATGATAATGACTACACTAGCTGCCATTAAACTGGTTGACTGATTGTTGTTGTCATGAGATACGCAGTTAAAATAATTAACCTTATTCTTGCAGAGCTCTGCCCGGCAACAAAATTAAACAGCTTCCACCCGCGATATTTTCCAATCTGTCTGAGCTACAATACTTGTAAGTTTGTGTTTTTTTGTATTGTCTGCTGTCTATTATCAAGACTACAACACTAGTATGCGCAGACAGCCATGTATATAAGTTTCCGTACGGGTAACCTTCACTTCGCGGCTAGCTAGTTACACCAGTAGGGTAACACGAACAGATGTGGGTAGTACATCTTACAAAGTCCTTTCTTCTATTATTTACGAATAACAAGAGTAGAAATATTATTTTGCGAAGACTCAAATTGAGCGAAATAGCACAGTTGAACTTTTAGTTGCTTTTAGTTCCTTCTACTTGGCCACATGTAAAACACCCTTCTTCGTTACTGTTGAAATATTAGGCTGATTTAGTAACAGAACGGGAACGTCATTTGACGACGGGAAAGCGCGGGGAAAGGACTAAATTCGACTTCCGGTGCGCAATTTGCAGCTCTGCCATTGGTCAAGCCAGTTGTTTGATTTGCGCGCGCAGTCGTCAATTATCACTCAATGCTGACTTGCGTTAGCATAGCTCGTGGAAAGAACGCTTCCCTAACGTTACTTTTTAAAAAAAAAATCTAGCGCAATCAAACAATCGCATTGCCAACTTTGCAACGTTAGCAGTTCAAGTAACAAAGGATAGAAGAGGTAAAAAATCTACTTCCGAAACAAGGCAATGTACTCTAATTTCCATATTTTAATGGAAACCATATATGTGTGTGTACTTACTCAATGCTTTGAAGTGTGAAATTAAAAATGGCTAGCCCCTACAGAACTCCTGTGACAGAAAGCGTTAAGGCCCCAAAGTTTAAGGTACCAGATTATTGTAGTAACCAAAGAGCACCTTCAAACAACAAAATGACACGTATAGCTCATCCAAATAGTACAATAATGGCGTCGAAACATGTGAAAATAGACCTCTGCCTCCGAAGCCCGCCAGTTCTTCTTGTGGCTATATATTTTGTGCTTTTGACCTCCCCTCCCTTGGCCTATTCCCTTGATTGCCCTCTGAGCTTCTGATGAGACAAGGCTTTCAACATTTTGTTAACTTATAATTAAGGCGCTTATTATGAGCTCATCATATCTCATTATCTTAGAGTTCAAGATATGTTAATAGTAGTAGATATATAAAATGGTTGGGGTCCTGCATTTTACAGTTGTCCCCAGAGGATGAAATAGAAATTAAAGGTGGTCTGGTTGCGATAGAAATAGAAGAAAGAAGATGTAAGATACAAGGAGAAGAACAGGATACGACACGATGTTAAGACAAATCACAAAGTCTGTTCTGATTAGTAAGATCAGGGAAGATAATCTAATGAACTCAAAAAGTGAATGGAACTTCTTCTGCATCCGAAGGACTGTTGTAACGCAACAGCCTCATTACTACTTGAGGTTATTTTTCATGCATTGCTAAGTAGTTTATGTTATTTTGAATGCTGTGAAGATCAACTGTAGAGGTCGTTATACGGAACTAGTCTTGTGAATCGCCATATAAATGTAATTGTGTGTTGAAAAGTGGAAACAAATTAAGTTTTTTTTCTCTTGTTTACTGAAACACTTCAAAGAGAAGGCCCAAAAAAATAAAAGATGTAGTCATCGAAGCCAATCGGGTGGCTGCTCAGCTATAACTTATTATGGCTGGGCAGCTAGACTGCT